GTTGAATAAGGTTTGAGCTGTGACTGGAGGTTTTTTCACAGCCCTCACTTCCGGTGTGAATTCTCTGAAATCGGTTAAGGGCTGAGCTCTCCCTTCCTCTTCCAACATTCATTCAGTCAGGGGGCTTCTCCCAGTGTGAATCCCCCGCGGTTCATGAGGTGTGAGCTGTGTTGGAAGGTCTAGCCACATGTATGGCACGCAGTGTGTTCCCTCCAGGAGCTCCTGCTCAGAGAAGGCCTCTCACAGACTGAACCCGGGCAGCGTTGCCTTCCCTCTCTGGGGGGGCCCCCGGCCAGCAGGCTGCTGAGGCCCCCAACAACCCACAGCAGAGCTGGAAGAGGGGAAAGGTGAAAGGGCAGCTGCAGAGGGCACCGCACCAGCCTCTGGGCGCGGGAGAAGCGGGCACCGCTCCTTCCCTGGGCTCCCCAGTTGGGGTTGGGAATAAAGGCGGGGGGGTGGGGGTGGGGGGGAATGGGGGGAGTCCTGCGCATGCGCCCAGCGCCCCCTCCTGCCCGCAGCGGGACTTGCCTGCCTTCCATTGGCCCGAGGGCGGACAGAACGGAAGCATGGTCGCACCCACTTCCGGCCCTCGCCCTCTGTGCCCAGGATGCCCCTCTTGGACGGCTCTCCTCCCACGGCCCTCGGGGTGCAGCCTCCCCTGACCCCCCCAGAGGGACGCGCTGTCCCGTTGTTCCGCCCACACGCCTGGCCGGGGCATGGGCCTCCCCCCGTCGTTTCTATGACAACTGGGGGGGGCGGCGCGTGCACGGGCTTAGCACGGTCCCATAGCAACCGCCCGCTCCTGCTATCGTTCGTGGAACGCGCGAAGCCTCCTGGGACAAGTAGTGGGACGGCTGAGCCCTAAGGACTCCTCTGCGCATGCGCCCACCTTCCCCGCCGCACTGTGGTTTATGTAGTCCTGGGCCCAACCTTCAAGGCTTCAGGCGGCGCTTGGAGATACCTCTTTCTTACATAGCCCCAGAATTCCCAGAAAAGGGAAGAATCGTGAGAACGTAGTGGCACAACTAGGAATCCGTCAGTCAATCAATCAACAGGCATTTATTACAAAAGCTAACATGATCATCCCGGGAGTTTGCAGAGCCTCTTAGCTTGTACAGAAAGGGAAATCGAGGCATGGCAGAGGGAGATAACGGGTCTTCCCGACTGTGCTACCAAATGCAGGTGCCTGCCCTCAGGGAGCTGACAGTCTCATGCCTTCCTCTAGGAGGGACCCACGGGCTGGAGGGGGGGGCGCGGCAGAGGGTGGGAGGGCCTTCAGAGTCAGGGCTGGACCAAGCCAGGGGCCGGAGCAGAGCCAGGGCAAAGGCTTGGAGTCAAGAGATAGGAGACAGGTCTCCTTGGCTCAGGGCGACCCACAGCCCTGGAGAGCACAAAGCATTGGGCCACCCCTCAGGAAGGAGCTGGGGTGGCACCGCCCGGCTGGACCAAGGGTGGGCATGGTGGTACATGTGTGAGGAGAGGACCTGGGAGGGGACAGGGAGCTGTGGCTCCACTGGATCGCAGTGGGCAGGGCTTGGGAGATGGGGATGACCATGGTGGACGCATTGCCAGAACTGAGGATGGTCATGGGGACTCTGGGAGAAGTGCTTGGAGATCCCCAGGCCACGAAGGAAGCTCCAGGGGGGAAGATGAGGCTTCAACCCCTCCACCCCACTGCACTCCAGCCCTACTTTCATTTGGAGAAACTGAGGCTCGCAGAGAGGAAATGACTAGTCTAGATGGACCCATCTCCCCTGTCCCACATGGGTGGGCCGACATCCCACTCACTACCTACAGCACCTGAGAAAGGGGCTGCCCTTTTCTGGGCCTCACCGTCTTTCTCTATAAAATGAGGAAGGGGAGTTGTACTAGATTCCACCTCTCCATCTGTGCTCCCAGGATCCACCTGGGGGCCCACGGCGAGGCCTGGGGCCAAGCTGAGCCTTCCCAGGAGAGCCAGGCTTGGCCAGTGCCAAAACAACCCTCCTTACACTCAACGCGACCATTGCTCATGCCCCTGTGTCTACCGTGGCTGCCTCAGCTTCCCCATCTGTAAGAGACCTAAGACCCCAGATCTGCCTGGGCTGCCTCAGTTTCCTCTAGGTTTGAATCTTCTGCCAAACCACATGCCCACAGAGAGAAGTCCAACACTCCTCTATCAGCCCTCCAGAGGGTCACCACCCATGGCCTCTCCCAGGAACTCAGCCTGGTTTGAGCTTGGGGGTCCAGCCCCCTGTTGGCCACCATGAGGCAGGGTCCTGGGATCCGGGGACCCAGAGAACTCTGTGGGGAGCACATTTCCCATGGGTTTGGTCTGCCGCAGGAGTTGGGGCAAGGTTGAGGATCCTGCAGTGGCTGTCACAGGGGGCAGAAACCAAGAGGAGTTGGTGGGAGAGGCCAGGGGTGGGCGCGGGAAGACAATAGCTTGAGTGGTGGAGTGGGGAATGAGAAAGAAGATGTAGACCCCAGAGACGATTAGCCCCGCGGTAACCAGCACTGCCAGGGTGACCGCTGCATGGAAGGCCCATGTCGAGCGGTCCCAGCCAAGGGTCCTGGTTTGGGGCCGGCCCAGCCGCAAAGGAGGGGGGAGTGGGGGGCCCTCGCGGGCCTTGGACAACCCTGAGGACGAGGAAGGGGGGCGCAGGTAAAGAAGACCCCGTCGCCGGTCGAATCGGACCGAGTCCTGGCAGAGGCTGGGGCCCTGGGCCTCCCGGGGCAGAAGACGGGGCTCTGTGGGCAGCGCGGGAGGACCGCGGCGAGGTGGCAGGCGGGTGGGAGCCCGACACATGGGGCAGGCCACAGCCTCCCCGCTGCCCACGGTGGCCAGCGAGAGCCGTGCCAGGCACTCCAAGCAGAAGACGTGGCCGCAGGCCAGGCGTTTGGGAAGCTTGAAAACACCGTCAAAGGGGGAGACGCAGATGAGACAGTCCATGGGGGATGGTGGAGGCAGGATGGGGGACTCCACCTCAGCAGGGCCGGGCCTGAGCCCCCCATCTTCATCGCCCTCCTCTTCCTCTCCCACTGGGGAGCGTGCAGTGGAACTGGCCCCTGGAGAGTTGGGGATGGACCAGGAACGGGATGGGCCCCGAGGACACCGGAGGCAAGTAAGAGGGCAAGGCATCAGAGACCTAGATGAGAAAGCAGCAGAGATACGGGATCAGAGACAGGGAGAGATGAGACCTGATCAGGAAGGGAACAATGCTGGGGAGACAGAGAGACACAGGGTCAGACACAGGGAGAACTAGAAAGGGGGCATAGCTGGAGAGACAGAGACAAGGGACAGAGACAGGGAGAGATGTTATCAGGAAGGGGACAAAGCTGAGGAGACAGAGACACGGGTCACAGACAGGGAGAGATGTTATCAGGAAGAGGTCAGAGCTGGGGAGACAGAGACATGGGGTCAGAGACAGAGAGACGTTATCAGGAAAGGGTGAAAGCTGGGGAGACAGAGAGACTGGGTCAGAGACAGAGAGAACTAGAAAAGGGTCAGAGCTGGGGAGACAGACAGGGAAAGATGTTATCAAGAAGGGGACAAAGCTCGGAAGACAGAGGCAGGGCGAGACGTTACCAGGAAGGAGACAATGCTGGGGAGACAGACATGGGGTCAGACACAGGGAGAGACATTATCAGGAAGGGGTCAGAACTGGGGAGACAGAGACAGGGGTCAGAGACAAAAGACGTTATCAGGAAGGGGTCAGAGAGAGAACCAGAAAGGGGGCAGAGCTGGAGAGACAGAGACACAGATCAGAGACAGGGAAAGACGTTATGCGGAAAGGGTCAATGCTGGGGAGACAGAGACAGGGGGTCCCAGACAGGGAGAGACGTCATCAGGAAGGGGTCAGAGCTGAGGACAGGGAGAGGCTAGCGTGGAGCAAATCAAGTCAATCAGCACAGCAGCCCAGTATCAGAAAACAGAGACGCAGACCCTTCCTAGCTGTGACCTGCCTCAGTTTCCCCATCTGCACCACCTAGCTCCCTTGGTTGTTGTGAGGCTCAAAGGAGACCACTGTACACTGCTTGGTACCAGCCTGGCTCACAGGCACTCTAATTGCACTCAGTCCCCTCACCCACTTCGTAAATGCCTCTGGCAGCCCTGTGCCAAACACAGGGGATACAAGCAAACCACCATACCCACAACCTCTACCCAGGATCACTGAAGGCTTCCTGTAGGAAGCTGGGTTTCAAGGGGGACCCAAAGGCAGCCTGGGAGGCCAGTAGCTAGAGCTGAGCCTTCCAGGCCTGAGGCCAGAGGGTGCCCCGAGAGAAGCAGCTGGGGGCCAGGGTCCACGAGGGAGGCTTCTAAATGGCCACAGGTTGGGAGGAGTCCCTGGAGTTGAATGACGAAAGGACGCTGGATGGTAGTGGGGAGCCCTGGGGCAGGCAGATCCCCTACAGAAGCTATGGCAACGGTCCAGGCTTAAGACCAGACCCAGAAAGGAAGATGGAGATGTAGGGTGGGACACGGAGACAGAATTAGAAAAGGGGCAGAGCCAAGGGGACACCCCAAAGGGGAGATGGGCAAGGCTCCCCAGCATCCGATCCCTGTGGGGGGCAGGTGTGAGAGGGCAGCAGCCCAGTCTGAAGACACCTGGGGGAGGGTCAGGGTCAGGGAGGCTGAGATTCTGGATGAGGTCGGAGAAGGGCCCCCCTACCTGTCCGGGGGGAAGCCGTCAGCAGTCTGGCCCTTCTGGAGCTGGCTGCCAGACTCCTTCCTGGGCCTGCCCTGGCCCAGGCCTATCCCAACCCCTGGTTTTCCGGTCTCTCCAGGATCGTCTTCGTCAAGGGGGCGTGGGTGGGGTGGGGTGGGGTCCACTGCTAACCCCAGCTTGGCTTCCCAGGCCAGACCGGTTCAGCTACCTCCCAAGACAAGGTGGAAGGGCGGGGGCAGGCAGAACCTCTCCTGGGCCCAGCCCCCCACTGCCTGTGCACCCGTGGGGGCCGCCCCACCCCTCAGCCAGCCGGATGGCGGGGGTGGTCAGGAATGCATGCCCATCTCTGTGGTACCACCTTTCCCCCATAGGCTGGGGGGCATGCACAAGGGGGTGTGCCCTGAGGCTAACATGCAGTCAGCTGTTGACTGGCCAGCTGCTCAGGCCTGCTCAAACCCTGCCCAGCTGCCGCCAGCCCCCTCAACTCTGACCTCTGGGCTTGGAAGCCCCACTCCTGAGGTAGTGGGGGGAGTCCCATGGGCTGGAACCACCCATTTCCCAGATGGGGAACTGACCCCCCACTGCATGCAATAAAGGGCTTTGCCCAGCACACCCACAGATTCAGGAGCCAGGCAGTCCACTACTGAGGGCCAAGGCCAACAGCTTACTGCCCCTCCTCAGAGCCCATCGGTCCCCTGGGCCGCAAGGGATGGGGGGGCAGCCGGCCTGGGGCCCGGCGGTGAGGATCCCCTGGTATGGTGAGGATGCAGACAGCTGATCACCTGCTTGCCTGGACCTTCACCCAGAGCTCTGGGGGCCAGGTCTACATGTGCATGTGTGTTCTATGTATGTTCCATGTGTGTGGGTGGCCCAGGACCCCCCCAAACCCAAGACCAGCAAACAGCAGAGACAGGCACAGGGACCCTGCCCCCACTACAGGGGGCGGGGGCATTTATTATTGACAGAGGCCACCAGGATCAGCGGTTAGATTTGGCCACACGTTCCAGCTCGTCCTTCTTCTTGATGGCGTAAGAGTTTGAAGAGCCCTGGGGAGGGAGGACAGCCGGACATGGGTCAGCAGAGGCCGCTCCCATCCTCTCCCTGCCCACCCGAACCCACCTGCCAGGCCCCTGCCCACTCACCTTGGCAGCATTGATGAGCTCGTCGGCCAGACACTCGGCGATGGTCTTGATATTGCGGAAGGCTGCCTCTCGGGCCCCCGTGCAGAGGAGCCAGATGGCCTGGGGAAGGGAGAACGGCCAGGGTGAGGGGCCCGTCTGACCCCAGCCTAGCCCAGGCCAGCTGTGCTGGGGAATCTGGAGGAAATGAGCTCTTGCCACCCTGGGACCCCCTGGGGATCCCCGCACCACCCACTCACAGGCCTGCTGCCCCTACCTGGTTGACCCGCCGAAGGGGGGACACGTCCACTGCCTGGCGCCTTACAGTCCCTGCCCGCCCAATTCTGGTGGAGTCCTCTCGGGGACCACTGTTGATGATGGCATTCACGAGAACCTGCAGCGGGTTCTGGAGACAGAGGCGGCAGCTGATGGGTCCGTGCCAATGTGGGCAGCCTTGCCCAGGAGCGCATGCTAGAGCTGGCCCTCAAACTCGAGTCCCTTTCCTGAAATCCAGGGCCCAGTTGGGCTTCCTGGCACCAGTGGGCAGCAAGGTCCCTGACCCCCAGTGTCTCTCAGCAGGAGTAGCCCTTTGTCACGAGTGGTGGCAAAGAGACAGCCAGGATGCCAGGGATCATGGAGAGGGCAGGTCAGGCCACAAGGTTAGGGGCTGCTCCCAGGGTGCCGACCTGAGCAGCACTGGCCCAATGACCCAACAACTTAGTGGGCTGTTTCACGACCAGCCCCCATGGGCCTCAGTCTCACCCTCCAGGGGGGTAATCCCACCAGCTGGGCAGCCCCTTCCACACGGGAAGGAGTCCTGACACCCAGCCTTCCCTCCCATCACAGGATCCTGCCTGTGGAATGGGAGACCCATCCCTCATGCCTCTCCAGTGAGCAGGGGGATGACTCCTAGGATACATCCTGCACCCCCAAGTTCTCAGGCACACTCAGCAGGTGAGTGTCTTAGGCACACACACACACACCCCCATGCCTCTGCGGTGAGCAGGCTGCTGATCTCAAAGCACCCTGCAACATCTGTCCAGGGAACAGCCCGAGGATGTCTGGGCTCCTCCCCCCATACCTTCCCCGTGAGTAGGTGAATGATCTCAAAGCACCCTCCAGCATCTGTCCAGGGAACAGCCCAATGATACCTGGGCTCCTCCCCCCCCATACCTTCCCTGTGAGTAGGTGAATGATCTCAAAGCACTCTCCACTATCTGTCCAGGGAACAGCCCATTGGTGTCTGGGCTCCTTCCCCCTACCACGTTCTCCGGGAGCAGGTGAATGACCTCAAAGCACCCTCCAGCATCTGTCTGGTGAGTGGGCAATGAGCCCTAAGGTCCCCCTCACCTCTCCGGTGAGCAGGTGGATGATCTCGAAGGCGTGCTTGACGATGCGCACGGTCATGAGCTTCTTGCCGTTGTTACGGCCGTGCATCATCATGGAGTTGGTGAGGCGCTCCACGATGGGGCACTGGGCCTTGCGGAAGCGCTTGGCAGCGTAGCGCCCCGCGCTGTGGGGCAGGTACTTGGCATACTTCTCCTTCACAGCGATGTAATCCTGGGGGGAAGGGCAGAAATGGGGCACCCGGGGCCACAAGCAGCACCCAGGACCAGTAAGAACACCCCCACCATGGCTGACCAGTCAGGTCCGGGCTCCAGAGGGGGGGTCTCCAGGGAGTGCCCCCCCCCCGCGCTCACCTGCAGGGAGATGTCATTGATCTGCACATCGTCTGTACTCCACTTGCCAAACAGCTTGATGTCGGGGGTCTCGGCCACGGCTGGCGCCGCTGTCTCCCACTCAGTCATGCTGGGGGAAAAGATGGGGGTCAGGGCCTGGCCTGGCGGGGGGTGTGGAGATGCCCCCTCCATCCACGGGGCGATTATTGGGGGTAATATTACCCCCCAATTTCAGTCTTTCCAGTATGAAGATGCCCTCTCCCTCCCCAATTTGGGGAGGCCCTTCCAGTGTGGCAGTGTTCTCCTCTCACCTCCCCCCACATTAGAGAATTATGGGGAGTGCTTCCAGTGTGGAGATGCTCCCTCCATCCACAGGGGGATTATTGGGGGAGCAGTCCTTCCAGCGGGAAGATGCCCTCCCCCCCGAACCATAGGATGGGCAGTCTTTCCAATGTGGTATTGCTCCTCTCTCATCTATCCCCCCATCTCTGTTAGAGAATTATGGGGAAACCTTCCAGTGTGGAAATACTCCCTCCATCCACAAGGGGATTATTGGGGGTGCAGTCCTTCCAGCGGGAAGATGCCCTCCTCTCACCTCCCTCCCATTAAAGGAAAACTATGGGGAGGCCCTTCCAATGTAGAGATGCCCCCTCCATCTACAGGCTGATTATTAGGGGAGCCGTCCTCCCACTGTGAGAATGCCCTTACCCATCTACTAGAGATATCCCCCCTTTCCCCAGCAGCCCCTGGGGCGGGATCCCGGGGAGGCCCTTCCAGTGCGCTGAAGCCCTCCTCCCTGCACAGCCGCTGACAGACGGAGGCCAGACCGGGCCCAACGCGGCCTCCCGCCCCTCCCCCGCCCACCCTGCAGGCAGCTTCCCTCCCGCCTCAGTTTCCCCTGTGCACAAGGTGTGTTGGGGGGGGTAACGAGGATCGGCAGACGCCGGGCAAAGGCACGGAGGCCTGCACTCACTCGCTGGGTCCTCGGTCGGTTCTCGGGGCAGAAGGAGTCTCTAGATGCCGGGTGCGGGGGCGCACACTCACGGCCGCGCTCACTCCACGCGCCTCTCTCGAGCGCCGGAACAGGAAAGAGGCCGCGCCCGCGGGGTCTCGGATTTTAAATGGACACGACTGCTTCCGGGTCGCCAGCCAACGAGAGACGACTGTGCGCAGGCGCACTGAGCAGTCCGGAAAGTCCTGGCGCCTGCTTCTAATGACACGTGGGCCACAGGCTTAGAGACTGCGCGTGCGTCCGCGAGTGAAGCCACACCCCCTAAGCTGCTTCCGGCAGCTGAGGCGCAGGCGCAGAAACGCCAGTGAGTCCCAGGCCGCCATGTTGTCAGAAGGCAGATGCCCAAGACACACGTGTGTAGTGCGGGGCGCCAGCCTTCCAATACCCCGCTCTCCTCCTCTCTCCTCGCCTCCGTCGACTGTGATGGCGCGTGTTTGGGACTTCTTGGGCGTGCCGATTCCCTCATCTCCCTGTCAGAAGCGCAACCCTAACCCTAACCCTAACCCTAACCCTAACCCTAACCCTAACCC